TTGACTTCTTTCTTTTCAGGTTTTGTATAAAGGTAATAAAGTAGTTCATAAATATGAGATATGAGTTTACAGATAATTATAATCCCTCCTCGTCATTGAGGAGGTTGATTTATGGCTATTTTTTCAGTTACACCTACAGTCTATGTTCAGATCTCTGAGTTACACTCGTTGTCTTGGTGATTCCTCACAGTTGATTTTGTCTGTACGCCCTCTGCCGTTTAGGAGAATAAAGAAGTATGAGTATGAACTCCTCCGTACAGACTCTGCAGAGTCTCATTCTACGGCACCGAGCTTTAGTCTGGAGCGTTGCACAGTCTGACACCATTCACTGAGAAGTATTATTTATAACCTGCTGCTGAGAAACTGCACTCGTCAACAAGAAGCAAACGGACTCAAAGTGTATTAGATAACAACCAGAGCTGCAGACACACGGGTAACTTCACGACATAACAAGTGTTTTGTTACCTCAGACTGAGTGGGGGGGGTGGGGTGGGGGTGCATGGGGTGGGGGTGGGGGGGTGGTCTAATAAACTCTAATCTCATTAGACCTCGAACTGGCTCCAGCCTGGATTTAGACAGCAAGGAGGGAGGAGGTACTTACAGAAATATGGGAGGAAAAAAACAACACAGCTTGTGTCTCATAAGAGGAAAGTTACAGGTGGCTCTACAATCCCTGACACGCACTTGTCCAGAAGCTGGTCACGGGTTACTTGTGGACCTCCGTGGGAAACACAGAGGAGGAAGCAGAGAAGAGTGTGAGCGTGTTGAGAGAGCCGGAATGAAACAGACCGAAGCCTCCTCTGGTGAAAAGAATTCCCAGTGGAAAGCAGTAAAAGTATGCCTTTACCAGCATGTGGGCAGCGTGTGATGGTGTAATGACGGGGTCAGCCGGTCGGCTTCAACAACATGATGTCATCAAATAGGGCCGGCGTGACTCATCGACCTCAGACTGAAGGGAGGTGCACAGGAATGTTAATGAGATACCTCAACATGAGGAACCCATAAACAACATTCTTCTACTCTGGAGAAATAAATCAACTCCAACAGAGAGACGGGACAAAAACGCACCACGACGTTGTTACCAAAATAACATTAAAATATCATTGCAATGTCTTGTGGGTAACATCAGGACAATCAATCTGCAGCAAATAGTACCAGAAAAAATTAATTAGATAATGACAAGTCACGACAGGTAGAGGGGGGGGGGGGGAAAAAAAGAATAAAAGTGTTCCGAGTGTAAAGATCTCATTACCAAACACAAGACAATGACCTAATTACATCCTCGAGAGCTGAGGGAAGAATATCGTCTCATTTCACACACTCACACACACACACACACACACACACACACACACACACACACACAGGCCTTATTACGTTAACGTCATGGAATATATTAGAGCTATAAATGCTTCCTAAACTGTGGCTAATGCACAACATCATTAAAAATGAACAGGAATGCTTTTATGACAAAGATGGAAGCGATTATAAAAATAACAAACAGCTCTATTTTGAGTCAACTGATAACTGAAGACATCCGCAGAAAGCTCTCTCTCTAATTCTTCACCCCAGCCCCCGACCGCTGTGACTCCTGAACCCTGACCTTTGACTCCCAGGCGGCTCCGGTGGCTCCACTCACCACCACCACGCGATCTGTTCTCAATCTGTGTGAACAAAATACTGTGTCATACGAGTCAACGAGGGCGAGAGAAGGGAGACAAAACATCCATGTAAGCGGAGCACTGCGGAGGTGAGTCACCGACCACGGCCTCTGAGGCAGAGTGTCAGACAACTGGAGACCGGGGGGGGGGGCTAACTAAACATTTGTCCCTTTTGGTCCCGACACCTTCAACCCCCAAAACCTGGTTCTAGTAAAACCTAAGGTCAAGTTATCGGTTCTCCTGTCTCCTGTCCTGTTGGTAGAATAATAAAGAAATGTGGATTATTTTCTTCAATAATTGTCTATTTTTCTCACTAAATAATCAAAGAGAACCGATAAGAGTATCGATAAGTAACCGAACCCATGACCAGTCCCGATCAGAGTACCAGTATCGATCAGAGTACCAGTCCCGATCAGAGTACCAGTCCCGATCAGACTCTGAGACGAGGGAACAGGAAGTGTAAAACGTGCTGACTCATGCCTGTGTTTAGGACTCACTCCTGAGGCGTTCTGCTGATGACAGGGAACCAGACGAGGCTGTGCAGGTGTAACGTTTTTTTAGAACATGAAAGGCAGAGATCAAAGCTGATTGCCCTGACCTGATCTCAGGCCAGAGCTCTTTGGGGACTGCCCCCCCCCCGGGTCACACCCTCAGCTCCTTCTTTTATTGCTCGTCGCCGTCTGTCCCCGGATTCCTTTTTTTTGGTGAATCTCAAAGCTTGAAGCAGCTCATCTGGTGCCGTCATCAGTGAACGTGACCTCGATCAACACAGCTTGTAAGTATCATAAACGTTTGTTTGCTGCAGAGATTAGTTTCTGTAATAATCAAAAATCCAACGGACAGAATCTCATCGTGCGACGCAAACTTCCTGGTTTACCTAAAAAAAATACATCATTCCTGCAGCTCTGGCTGGAGATGCAAGGAAAAGGAATGAATGCACCACACACACACACACACACACACACACACACACACACACACACTCTCTGAGGATCATATGCCTGCCTATACACTGAGGGATTATCATCAGCCGTCAATGTGAAAGACATAACAGAGGTGAAATAATGTGCTCGTTTCGAGTGTCCACCTCTTTATCTCACACAAACGGGTTCTTTTTCCAGAATGGAGGGAAATTCCACGACGAGCCTGAACCCTCTGAAGTGATGTTCTGAGGTAAACGAGGGGGGCCCTCCAGTAGCGACGCACAGCGAGGCCTCTGATCTCCGTAGCTGCACGGTGAAGGCGGACACATTATCGGCGCTTCGACATTCCAGTGATTCTCCATAAAGACCTCGACATCTTTTCATCTACCTCATCCTCCCTCAGGTGGAAACCAGAGGAGCTCTGAGAGGGCCCTGGAGGTTCCTCCACTTGGTTTTTAGAGCCTGGTTTTCCATTTCCAATCAACAAATACTACACACTGCTGTCAGTGAGTGGGTGTATGATAGATTGATGTGTTTTCCTGTCATGTGGGTTTATAAGACACCAAAGGTACAGCTGCAGTGCTCAAACATTTCATTCAATGAAAGAATTACCAGGTATTTCACCGCTCAGTCTTAAAACTAATTATTCAGCCTTCTCAAATAAAAGCGGCTGCAGGTAAATTCCCCTTCCTGAAGCAAAACTCAAGTCAGTCATCGTCCTCCAGCCAAAATAAATCAACATAAACGGAGGATGTTTACTAAAGAGAACATCCTGTATGTCCTCCTCGTAGAGATGAGAGTAAAACAAGAAGCGCCTCCGGAGGACCATTTAAACTGCTGCTCACTGACGGGAATGCTCCACAGCAGAACTGTGCACATCTTTGTCTTTTGTTAAAGTTCTGCTCTGTAGTTATACTTTATGAGACAATACGTCCGTCACTTTTGTTTAAACACCAAAACATCGAACATTTTGCTCCTAAATATCACAAAGTAACGTGAAGTGAGCCTTCATGTAGAGTCTACCGCTGCTTTCCTTCATGTATTCTTACTCCACAGCAAACAGTCTCACACACGCGTGTGATTTGGACTTTCATGACTAATGCACAGCAGCACTGACACACTGACTGAGTATTGACTTTCCCAGAGAGGAGGGTAAACAATAAAAAGGAAAAGAGGTTTTTGTTGGCGGTAAAGGTTCAGTAAAGGACGTTAAAGCGGCACAAACACAACCGTGACGCGTTAGCCTGCTGCTTTCATCGTGTTCCTGTTTCCACATAAACACTGAACTCTGCCCACGTTTCACTGAGCTTACAGAAGCTCACATGAAGAGGACTCTACGGTTCATGTTGTCTTATTTACATCTCTCTCTCATCTGTGTAAATGAAACACACATAGGGTCCCTGCATTTCACAATTTCCGTCTGCTCCTATAACTACGCTTTACGACTGCAGATTAAAACAGCCAGCCGGTAGTCACACCCTGCATTTCTCACGTACACTCACCAGCAGCACCACAGCAGGGATCTCAAGAGCAGCACACATATTGTGCATGTGGCATCGTCAGCAACTAAGAAAGAGCAGAGGACCTTTCTGAGGCTTTTGTTTGGAGCCTCCTTCAGAGCATGAGCGGTTCATACTCGACGCTCTGATCGACACATTATTCTCATAACAACAGAGGACGAACAGACAAAACGAAGTGTGAGGAATCAAAAAGACAACGAGTGTAACTCAGAGATATGAACATAGACTGTAGGTGTAACCAGTAAAAGCCATAAACCAACCTCCACTAGAGAGAGGAGGGATTGTAATTATCTGTAATCTTATATTGATGGACTACTTTATTGCCTTTATACAAACTCTGTAAAGAAACAAGTTAAGTATTAAATGCAATATAAACAAACTAAGTTTGAATATCCTGTAATTAATTTGATTTGTCTGATAAATATTGACTCAGATGTGGATGTTTAAGACGTCTTGTTTCTACAGCATGAGCTGACCTTCTTTGTATAATCCCCAGACATGTAAATAGGTTCTTTTTATCAGTTAACTATTAGTGACAGTCACGTGACCAAGTTAAAACGCGCCGGCTTCACCACGGTGAGTAGAAACTAAGCTTTAGGGGAAAAGCCCAGGCTGCAGCCGGCTCACAGACACACAGAATCGTTTGTTTGGCTCCACCGTTAACTGCTCTCAACCACTCGCCGTCAGCACCGCTGGGCCGCTGGTCAACTGGCTGGCTTTGGGATCACCATGATAACAGTTAATCCGCAGCAAAGATTAGAGAGAGCCAGTAATGCAACATGCTGCTTTTAATCCACACAGATTTTCTGTTTTGTTGCAGCTCGACCCAAACAATGGGTAAAACACAGACTCGTGCTCACTGATCCGTGTGCGGTCACGGTGAGTAGTATACTGACCCGCACAAGGGTGTTCTTAGCCTGAGCTCGCTGGGGCTGTGCTCCCGGGGTGCCCTGGTCTCTGGCTCCGCCGCCTTGCGCTCGGGACACGGCTCCGGACGTCCCGTTGGTGGTGCAGACCCCCGGCCCGGGACCGGCCCTCCGAGGCCTCTGCTTGATGCCGTCCAGCAGGCGCACAAGCAGGATGTTGCTGGGGAGTTCGTCCACGGCGCACTCCACCAACGTCCGGCACTCCGGGCAGCGCAGCTCTCCGCGAGAGCCCAGGATGCCTTGGAGGCACCGGCGGCAGAAGGTGTGCTGACAGGGGAGGACCTTCGCCGAGGCATCCAGGCGCTCCAGACAAACGGGGCACTCGAGCAAATCCAGCAGCACTGACTCGTCCATTCTCTTGCTGCTCCGCCACTACTTCAGCAGAAGAGGCATGAGGCTGACACGGTTTGTGTTTGGAAGCAGGACCAGAACGCTGTCACGTCACTCCCATACCTCAGCTGTGGCCATGGCGTCTGCAGCAGCTGTAAAACAGGGTCCAGAGACATGCACATTAATCAGCTGTTAGTGTGCACACAAGAAATAGGTCATAGTAAGCCTGGGGTGGGCAGACTGTGGCCCGCTGCGCTTTAAAAAACTAAAACTAGGATATGGCTGGAGCATATTTATATTAATAAGTTTGGAGTTTGCCGATGTCGCCGTCGCCGTCGCCATCTTGGATTACTGCCGTCAGCATGTTTTTTTCACAACCAGTAAACAGGAAGTGACCATATCTGGACTGAGGAGTGACGTAGAGACACCGTATATGTATCTGGTAGAGACCTGTCAATCACCGTGTAGCCCCGCCCTAAAGCATCCCCTGCTTTATGGTCTGT